TATTCCGGCGGATTTCCGGCGGATTTTTCCGCCGGTATTTTAAAAATTATTTTTWAAAAAAATATTATTTTCTTTTCAAAAAAAGAGATTTTCCGGCGAGACACGTTTCCGGCGGTAATATCCGCCGGAATTTTTTAAAAAACAAATTTAATTACTTTTTAAGTTAATCAAGATTCTTTTAAAAAACGGGCGGAGATTTTCCGGCGGCCGTAATCCGCCGGAAAAGTGTAAAATCCGCCGGAAACACCGTCRGAAAAAAAAACACCGGCGCCCCTTTTTCCGGCGGCCAAATCCGTCGGAAATCCGCCGGAAATACCTTTTTCCGGCGGATTTGGCCGCCGGAAAAAGGGGTTTTTTTGGTAGTGTTATCCTGTACTAATCGTACCAAACATAGGATAGACAATTAGTCATGTTCTGTCTTGTCCCATCCAGTCTACGTACCAAACACTACCTAAAGGAACAACCAAAGGTAAATGATGTGACACAATGAGATTTGAGAATTTCTCGAATCTTGGATTCTGTTGTTAATTTGATTATCCCACATTGATAGATGAACGAAAGTTTCACAAATACTATGAATATATAAGGAAGATATGATGTGTTGAAACTTGAAAGTTTGGATTGGTCAAATATAACTTCCAGCCACCATCTTTTTTAGAAAGTTGGTTATTTCACATTAACAGAGAAAATAAATTTTGACAAATGTTAGTAGTATAAAAAGAAGAGATAATTAATTGAAATTGGAAAACTTTTGGTTGGTTAAATTTAAAGTTTAGTCATTTTTTTCCAAAAAAAATCTTTGATGAAGCTAATAGAGTTGAATTATTTTACCCAATCATTTTTTGCAAAAAAGATGTATTTATTTGTTAAATATAACCAAGTGTAAGACAAATTTTAGTAGTATAAATCTACAGTTTTAGCCAATAATGGCTTTTAAAATTATATTAGAAATTTTATCTCAAAAACTCTCACGGTTCTTAAATCCACTTTTCCAATATCAACTCAACATTATTTGAAAAACAAAATACTCAACTCAACAGTTTTGAAGGAAATCACAATATCTTTCTCAAATTAATAACAACATTTGAAAGATACAAAAATAATCAACTTTAGTCCTCATCGGACAAGACATGGGCGATGACTGCCCCTCATCGGCCAACACATACAATCCGGACAATACTTAGAAAATAAGAACATACTCACCGGTCAACACTATGTCCGGCAACAACCTCATGTGTCCGGCAACAAGCTCATGTGTCCGGTAACAACCTCACCAGTCAACATTGTGTCTGGTAACAACCTCACCGGTCAACATTTATAATATAAATAACATAACCGGACAATGTTTGTCCGATGAGGATCCTCATCGGACAAGGCATTACGCGATTAACACCCAATCCGGTCAACACTCAATACCCCAAACACTTAATTCGTTCAACACTTGGGCGATAAGATGCCCAATCCAAACAACCCTTGTCAGGTAAAAGTCTTCACCGGAGAACACTTCATCCGATAAAGTCCTCAGTAAACAATACATAAATTATCCAAGAATTTTACCTATTAAGGCATGACCGATAAGGGATATAAAATCACAACTTCTATCTTTTGTAATAAATCACACATAAAACTCACTTTTCTGTTTCCTTTCTAAAAATGGCAAGAAAAGTTCAAAAACCTTCTCTTCTTATACTTGCCTAAAGAGACGGTGAAGATTATAAAATTCTTTTCCCTTCCTTAAACGCATGCACATAACCACATATATACATATACACCTTTTACATATACATGCATTTTCACCGCTCACAAATTCATACACACACACACACACATATATATATATATATAGCGGCTGGTTCAAATATTAACCAAGATTATTGTGTTAACTCTGTTAATCAATCTTGGCTATTGATTCTTACAATAAATGGTTGTGATTAATCATGATAAAAAAATCAATTTTTTAAATTTACAATTTCAAATAACATATATGAACAAAGGGGAAAAGGATATTTAGATAAAATTTTTTTTATGTAACTCCCATATCATTAATTGGGAGTTACACAATCAAAAAATCTCATTATTTTTGTTAATTTAATTTTGTTAATGTAAGAACACACACACACACACACACACACACATATATATATATATATATATATATATATGAACCATTGTGTCAAATACGAACAAATTAAAATTTACATATATGAACTTGAACTGCATAACATTTATGAACACAATATGAACGTAATAAGAATAGCTGCTACACGAAAGAAAATAAATAAAAAAACAGGTATGAACACAATATGAATAGCTTGTGAACAATAATTCATTCATTATGAACACATTTAGGAACGAGCCAATGTTGAGATATACAGCTAGTGTACATATGAACACAATATAAACACTTGTGAACAATAGTCCATTCATTATGAACAATGAGTTTATCCATAATAGCTTGAACGATGCCGAAAATTTTACTGCCGGGTCTTTTTTACCAATCATAAATTCAAAAACATTATAGATAGAAAAATCAATATTATAAAAAAAAACAATATCAATAATAAATTAACAAAAAATATAAATTCAATATTAAATGTCTTGAATGTTCCTACTAGAACATATATGAACACACCTGAATGTATATGAACACTAGTTGCAGTCTATGGCAGGTCAAACATCACAAGCAACCGATGGAGCCGAATGGTTATCAAAATTGGATTGCATAACAAATTAAGTTGACGATGAACCCATTCCATTTGAACATATGAATTGGGCTCGTAGTAATAATTAAAAAAAAAACTACCAACACAATATGAATTATAAAAAACACAAAAACGTCATAATCAACATAATTTCGTTTACAACTAATACATTGACATATTAATCCATTACCAATACAAACGCTTTGATTATTGTCTTCACTTCCGGAACTCGAAGTCCGATTGTCATCGCAAACCATTTTAACCTTCCCATTATTGTCGAGTTGTTTTCCAATGTGTTTATCCATATTAGCTTGAACGATATCGAAAATTTTACTATCGGGTCTTCTTTAACAATCACAAATTCAAGAACATAATAGATAGATAAATCAATATTATAGAAAAACAAAATCAATATTAAATCAACAACAATTATGGATTTTTTTTGATTTTGTAACTCCTAATTAATGATATGAGAGTTACATACAAACTAAAATTATATATTTACCCTTGTCATTAAATTATGAGATGAATATGAACCTAAATAAAAGATGAATTTTCATTGGTTGAGCTTGGTTAACAAAGTTAACACAATAATCTTGGTTAACATTTGAACCAAGCTCTCTCTCTCTATATATATATACAAACCCATGCATGCATGCATATAAAAATATGCACATACTCACAGGGGTGGACCTGTATGGGAGCATACGGTGGCACGTGCCACCGTATTATTTCGCCTCCGAAGGGTAAAATTTTTAGGTTTGTTAACGGTGTTACCGTATCGTTTCGGAAGGTGCTACCGTATTTTTTATAAAATTCAAAGAATGGTGCTACCATATCATCATGAAGGTGGTGAGAAGAAGCAAGAAGACGCCGGAAAACCAGAGGATGCGGCGGCGGTGATGGAGATGAGGAAGAGAACCCCAATTCTACCCCACAACCAAGTTTGAATCATGTTAGTGTCATTTTMTTAGTCAAACGGTGGCATCGTTTGAAAAAAATTTCCTATATTTTTTTTCTTATGGTCAAGTGGTGCTACCGTTTAAAAAAATTTCTGGGTCCGTCCCTGCATACTCACATAAACATTTCTATGCATGCATATGCATGGTGCATATTTTCACATATATATGCATATACCAACACCGTGAATTAATTATAACAATTAATCACATACTCATGCATTCACATCATGAATTATAACAACCCAAATAAGCAAATAATTACCTCATATGTATAATCGGAACCTGATTATCACAGATAATTTATCTGATTCATAAATTATTACGTCTTACTATAGATTACTCCCTCCGTCCCAAAATAATATGAATGACGATAATTTTAAGAATATGAAATAATTACATATTTTAAATCACTAAATGACTATTATAAAAAATAAAAACTTTTAACATTTATTTTGAAACAAATAAAAATTTATCTAAGATGTGTTTGACATTTTGATTTGCGACGGAAGGGAGTACAAGAATCTCTTATTTTCATTCTCGAATGCATTTGCCATGTAAGAATGCCACGTTATACTTGTTTTTGAGCTTAACAGAACTTCACGATAACTTGATCATATATTTGCTCAAATTTTGATCGCTTTGCAAAAAGTCTGAGCCTAAATATTGAATTACATTGATGTTCTTCCTTGATTTTACGTCTGATTTAGCCTACCAAGCAAGTTCGGTATACAAAATTTATCGATTTCTTTCAAAATAATTCGGGGTTTTTGAAGGTTGACGAGTCGATGAAGAAGATTAGGAAGAAGAAAATGAAGACATTTGGGATGGATGAAGATGAGGACGTTGGTAGAGACAAGAATCCCAATGCGGTTTCAAATTTCAGGATTTCAGAGCCCTTGAGGATTGCATTGAAGACGAAGGGGATCGAGGCGTTGTTTCCTATTCAAGCTCGGACGTTTGAATCCATCTACGATGGTCTTGATTTAATCGGGAAGGCTAAAACGGGTCAGGTACCTGGGCATTTAACTTTGCATCTTAAGTGCAATTCACCACCTTCATCGTTTGGGAAGCTTAGGTTATCTGATAGTAGGAATCACGGTGTCTTAATATGAAGCCATTAACTGCTTTATATCTTCACTAGATGAAACTTTACAATTTAGACTCAGGAGGTTGACAAATTATTGTTGGTTGTTGTGAACATGTTTATTTCTAGAACTAGGAAATACATAAGAAGCTTGGATCACTAATTTGCATTTCTAGGTTTATGCATTTGGAACTAGAAGAGTGTAATGTGGGTTATCTTTAGATTGTATTGTAGGTCATTTTCCATTTCCATGTTCATTGTTCAATATAAAGGGGTAGGTTTAGTGAGCCTGCAAATCTTAGATTAGAGTAGAGGTGCGTAGCGTAGGCCATTCCTACTTTGGTTATGTTCTCACATTTTAGTACTTATTTTCAAGTTCTAATTATGTCCTTGCCCACCAATTTTAATGTGTGTGTGTGTGTGCGTGTTTTATCCTTTCTTTTCTCACACTTTGCACAAGATGGAGGTCTTCATGGAAATAACTGCTCTACTTCTTGAGGTAGAGGCCAGGTTTGCGTACATCCACCACCACCGGACCCCAATTTCAGGCGAGATATATTGGGTTTGTTTGGTTTGGTTTCGTGTTCATTGTTCAAGAAGCCATATCATGATTGGATCTTTATAAATCATATCCTTTTGACTAGGTTAACTTACAACTGTACTATCTCATAATTTAAGGTCATTCCCTATCTGCAACCTCTAGTTTGGTTCCCATATGATCTTTTTTTGTAGAAAAACAGTTATTGATTACCTATTTTAATGGTATAGGGTAAAACATTGGCCTTCATTTTGCCGATATTGGAGTCCCTAATAAATGGACCAGAGAAAGCATCACGGAGGACTGGATATGGTAGAGCACCAACGATTCTTGTGCTTCTACCTACTAGGGAATTAGCAAAGCAGGTATTGTGCCTAAAGTCAATGTTACCTTGTTCCCCTTGAATTTGTAATACCATCTTTTTGATATTTGAAGTTGATGACAAGGTCTCTAGACAATTTCCCTTGTTTCTGTTACAGGTATTCACCGACTTTAAATACTATGGTGATGCTGTGGGTCTGACGTCATGTTGTTTGTATGGTGGAGGAGGAGCGTCTATTTCTCCTCAAACTGTGCAATTGAAAAGAGGGGTGGATATAGTTGTGGGCGCAGTTGGCCGTGTTAAGGTATTAGTTGTTCTTACATAACAATCTCTAAGTTGTGAGTTTAAGTCTCTTTGGACGCAAAAATTTATTTCACCAACTGGCCTTTGACCCAATGGTATCAGTGGATTCCTACAAGCAAATGGGTTGAGTTCAAGTTTTTTTAAACATATCAATTTATCAATTTATTGACCATTTAAAAAAATAGAACTTTCATTAATAAAATTAACTGATCATAGAATGCAATAATATGTAGGATCACATAGAGAGGGGAAATCTTGATTTCAGTTCATTGAAATACCGCATCCTTGATGAAGCTGATGAAATGTTGAGGCAGGGTTTTGTCGAAGATGTTGAGTATATCTTAGGTATGTTGCTGTTGAAACTTCACATATTAGGTTATAAAGTTGGCCATTCTTTTATATCTACATTATCATTTTTGATAATCATAAGATGTTTATTAGTCTATTGTTATTCAAATGTATGTAACATGCATATTTTATAACTCTAGATTGTCAAATTGTTCATGAATGTATCTTCTCTAAAAATAACTAAACAAATCTAGTAGTTAATTTGCTGCTATTAAACTGGTTTTTACTGTTGAACTTGCAAGGCAAGGTGAATGATGCAAGCAAAGTTCAAACCGTTCTTTTCAGTGCAACTTTGCCAGCTTGGGTAAATCATGTATGTCTCTAATTCTTACTCCCTCTGTCCCAAAAGAAATGTCCACATACTTTCCAATTTACCGTTAATTATGGGATGGAGAAATTCATTACTTCATTATTAAAAAGTAAAAAATTGTCATTTAGTTAATTAAGAAGTGTAATAACTACACATTTTTAAAACTGTGTCCTTTTCGCGGAGGACATTTATTTTGGGACAGAAGAAATATAGTGTTATTGAGAATCGGGTGAATATATGATGTATCTGTGAAAGTTTGCTCAGTTGAATCAAGCATGAACACTATAACATCTGTTTTCTTCTTCTTCTTCACCAGATTGCTTCACAGTTTCTGAAAGTGAACAAGAAGACTGTGGATCTTGTTGGTGTGGAGGTAATGAAGGCTAGTGAAAACGTGAGGCACATTATCATGCCTTGCTCTAGTTCAGCCAGATGCCAGGTCATTCCTGATATTATTCGCCATCATAGCAGGTTAGATATTTACACTGGAGGTAATCTGTAATAAGAGTTTTAGGTACTTCTGAAAAACATATAATTGTACCCTTTTCTGTTTTCAGTGGAGGACGCACCATTGTTTTCACGGAGACAAAAGATTATTGTTCCGAACTTGCTGGTGTGTTGCCTGGAGCCCGTCCTTTGCATGGGGACATACAACAGTCTCAACGTGAGGTAGAAACCATCAAGAGACATACTTATGATTGGCATTCTGATGATGTGTTACCCAAGATTCTACTACCCTTTAGGTAGGCGTCAATAAATAAGTTGTTGCACAGGTATCAATTAGGAGAAGCTTTTAATTGGATATCTTAACAATCATGTAGGTAGAGAAAGTAGAGGCTTTGAAAGAATCCATCGTAGAATTAGGTGAAATGAAACCAAACTAAACTAACCCATTATATCCCACTGTAGAATTAGGTGTGGAACCTAAAAGGCGATGATCTATATTTATTAATTTGATGGTTAGATAAGGTCTTAGGATATCGAGCAAACAGTTACGAAATATCAGGAATGACATATACTAGTTGACAAGGATAAAAGAAAAGGATGGGGAGGTAAGTTGCATCAGTGATAAGAGCCAGTGATTTCTGTTAAAGATTCTGAGGTTAGAGAATGATATAGGGGTTATCTTAAATAAATTGTTCAATCAAAATAGAGAAGGCCCAGGGGTGCAGAAGCCGGGGGCTTGATGGCTTTCTGGATGATACCTAGTAGAAGGTTTGTATGTAGAATAAGAGTTATGGAGGTGAAGTAAGCACTAAGAAAGACAAAAGTATTTATAGATATAGGGAGTAATGCTATTCTAGTGAAGTTTGGTGAGTGCTTGAATGTTATCCTAAAGAAAGAGGATTCCCTATGAAAGGAGGAAGAGTGTATTGATCTTAATTTAAATAGAAAATAGAATCCAAAAAATTGTTGAGGCATTAAGGCATCAAACTTATGAGCTGACTTACTACGAGAGTGAGTTGTTAAGCACATTATACTGGGTAGGTTAACAATTAAGATTAGTTTTCTTGATTACACTATTCATGGGGCACCAAAAAAGATGATTTGCTTAACCTTGATTTACTTAACGGGTCAGCTCAACTAGCAAATAAAAGCTAGGCCTTGGGGTTCCTATCTATAAGTCCGGTTTGAGTCTTCTCGAGGCCATTGGGGGCTTTTCCTGGCTGTGGGCCCGATGGGATTAGTTGAGGTGTGCACAAACTGGCCTAGGTACTCACGGTTACAAATGATTTGATCAATTGATCTAAAGCAGGCATATTATAGATCACAAACAGAAGTGATTTCGTGGGTCTGTATGACAATAAAGTCCTCCCCTGTGTATGTAAAAAGATAAATATGTATGATCCATAGTAATCGGCTTTTTGATAACAAGACTATGGGGCCTTTGGACCTATCGCAGTTTGAAACAGGCCTTGGCGCCAATGCATAATATCTTCTGGCAGCGATATTTTTAATACGTCTTTCATGGAGGATTGCTTGTTCTCCTTGGATTGTATGCTTCATCTCAAAAGTAGTGTACTTCTGCAATATAGAAACAAGAAAAACATTGGTCATCGTAATTTATAGAACTACTTGGGTATCCGTATATCAGTACATGTTTTGTACAAAAGACTACTTTCTCAGGACTTCCCACTTATTTTATCACCTTATATTAGCGGTTCAAGGTGTGAATACCGAACATATAAGATGGTTTTGTTTACCAACGACAATAAGATTACTTCTCTCGGTTATAGAAATACGTCTAATTCAAGAACATGTGATCTTCGAGGTCTTGGACAACTACACTCACTAAAATAAACTAAAAAAATCGAACCCGTTAATCCCACACAGAGTAGGGTCTCAGAGGATAGGATGCACACAGACCTTACCTCTACCCCAAGGAGTAGAGATGTTGTTTCCAAGAAAACTCAAGGCTTGTAAAAAGGTTTTGAGAAAAAGATTTTGCATAGAATATTCACCATCAAAGGTTGGATGTGTATGTTACAGTCACTTTGTCCCAAAATAAATATACACAAGGAAAAAGCATTCAGGTTTAGAAATATGTAATTATTACACTTGTTAGGTAACTAAATGACCATTTTTCCCTTAATGATATTGAGAGTAATGAGTTTCTCCATTTCATGGTTAAGGACAAAATTGGAATGTAGGTACTTACTTTTGAAAGTCGCTTATTTTGGAACAAACTGCAATATAAATGTGGACACTTATTTTGGAATGGAGGGAGTACATTATATTGGCCTTCGCTTTTGAGTTTTGAGTTCGGTTGCTTGAAAATCTTTGTTCTTTTCATAAATCAAACACATGTTGATTACCTTAAATAGGTAAATACCAAACGAGAAATTGTATTTTAAATATACAGTTTAATAACTAGTTGTAGTGACCTTTTTAACAGGCAACACTTGGGGGTTTCCGATCAGGAAAGTTCATGACACTAGTTGCAACAAATGTGGCGGCACGAGGACTTGACATTCACGATGTTCAGTTGATTATCCAGGTTCGACAATGATCAAAACCAAATCTTGAAATCATGCCTGCACATCATTCTCTCCTTTATTAACAGCAATTACTTTTCCATCCTGTAGTGCGAACCACCACGAGACGTTGAAGACTATATACATCGATCTGGAAGAACAGGAAGAGCAGGTAATTCTTAAATAACAAAAATAAACCCTAACACTGTAAAAACTTAGAAATACACTAGAGGGTTAGATTCTTTAATTCAGTTTTTGAGAAGGGCATCCAGCTACATAGCCCAACGATGAAGCTAAGGGTCTGTTTGTTGGCAGCTTAATGAGCCTAATAGGACTCACAGCTTATGCTGTCAGCTATACATGACGTTTTGGTAGTGGCTTAATGATATAAAAAATGGCTTATTCATTAAGATTTTGGGGGGAGCTTTATGCAGAAAGCCAAGTTTTTTTCCAAACTTTCCCTTCCTAATTAAAAAACATGCTCCTTCCATTTGTTAAAAAACCTTCCCAATCTAAACCTACAAAATGATCCACACAGACAGTGATCTGTACATGTCTTTATGGAAAACCAACCAAACAGCCCCTAAGTGAGAGTGTGCGCGAACAATCAGTGGGGCATCAAATACTGATTCCTGATCTTCCGGTTTCAACTTTCTCCAGGAAATTCTGGTATTGCCATCACACTTTATGAGCCAAGGAGGGCAAATATTTCCAAGTTAGAGAGAGAAGCTGGTGTGAAATTCGAACACGTCTCTGCTCCTCAGCCATCAGATATTGCTAAAGCTGCTGGTGCAGATGCTGCAGAAGCAATACTTCAAGTATCCGATAGGTATCATGGATCTTTATGATCAGTGAACGTTTAACTGTTCAACATATTTTCATAACTACATTGAAATGCAGTGTGATACCCGTCTTCAAGTCGGCTGCCGAAGATCTCTTGAATACTTCCGGTCTCTCGCCAGTAGAACTGCTGGCAAAGGCGCTTGCCAAGAGCATTGTGAGTCTCATATTTCTGCTCCTTTTATTTTTGTAACTCTGGGTGTCCGGCCCACTTGCACGCACCTTAACTAATCCCATGAGCGCTGAAGATAAAAATAATCCCCAATTTCTTTTGCTGGTTCTGATATTTGTTTGTGTCTGCCGACTGGGAGTTCTGTCTGCTTCTTTCTTTCAGGGTTATACCGAGATTAAGCAGAGATCGTTGCTAACTTCCATGGAAAACTACGTGACAGTTCTTCTTGAGGCTGGAAGACCCATATACACGCCTTCGTGAGCATTTCCATCTTTATCTATGCCTTTCGTGCGTACATTGTTCCACTCCATTATTAGGCCATGTTCGCTCTCCATAAACTAGCTTATCATAAACCCCCTTTGGTTAGCCATAACTTAGAGCATCTCCGACATATCCTTTAAAATAGAGAAAATGGAGATTTTAGTTATATTTATGTTCCAACATATTCTTTAAATGGTTCTCCAAAATAGAAAAAAGAATAAGGGAGAGAATTCTTCTAAATTTAGAGATTTCTCTAAAATTTATTGTGAGGGGAGAGAAATGATCTTTTCCAAAAATGAGATTGAATGTATTATTACTTTATATAAAGTTTACTTTAAAGTGTATTCGGACGATAACTTTATAGAATATTTAATGATATAATTAATGTTAAAATTCCAAAATAGATGATATGCTGGAGTTGGGATGTAAATTTTATTTATTAATAGATTTAACTTTTGGTTCTCTTTTTAGAAAAATTATAAAGAATGTGTCGGAGATGCTCTTATAATCTAGCTTTTTGAAAAGATAGTTCAAGCAAAATTGCAACAAGCTCCATGAGCTCTTTTTTTTGGTTATGCACCTTATATCTTTTTGATTAACTTTTCAAGGTCATCATCTACTTTTTTCTAGTTATTTTTTTAGCAAAACTAACTCGTTTATCAGCTAAAATCAAACGTATAGCTTATTAGCTAGTTTGCCATACATAACGTTTGTACTCTGACTCATACCCAAGTGCTGTTCATTTCCTCTTTCCAGTTTCGCATATGGTGTCTTGAGGAGGATTTTACCCGAAGAAAAGGTGGAGTCCGTTAGAGGTCTTGCATTGACTGCTGACCAAAAAAGTGCAGTTTTCGATGTTTCTGTTGATGATCTCAACACCTTCCTCGCCGGTATATTATCTTTCTTCAACTTCAGCTCCACAAGATTCGCCGTGATCTTTTTTCAATCTTTTGGTCTTGGATTTGCAGGCCAAGAGAATGCTGGTGGTGTAAGCTTGGTGGTGGTAAATGCATTGCCGCAATTGCAAGAGAGAGAACAGTCAAGGGGAAGATTCGGTGACGGCCGTGGTGGATACGGTAACAGAAGAGGTGGCAGCGGCGGCGGCGGCGGCGGTGGTGGGTTCTCTCGAGGAGGACGAGTTGGTTACTCCGATCGCCGGAATGATAGATTTCCCAGAGGTTCTGGTGGAGGAGGCAGAGGCCGAGGAGGGTATAAAAAATGGTGAGAGTTCTATTGGCCGGTCGAATCGAAAGGGTAGTCAGCAGTGGTTTCTCCGATGACGAAAAAACCACCGCCGGCCATGCCAAGATTGTTAACGAGTTGTTATGTCACCTATATATTGATTGTTGCCAAAAGGGCAAAATGCCAATTTTGAGATAAAAAGAGGGAACATTGGAATAAAAGAGAGTCGACATAGATGTATTATTTGTTTTTACCACTTCATGGGATATAAATATACTTTTTTTCATTTGTGTCCATAAATATTCAAAGAAACAAACCGATATTTAATCAGCTTGGTATGTAGCTAAAACAGTTCGGCAAAATGATAATATAAAAGGAAAAATGGTTGCTCCATGCAAGATTACGCTTTTAAAAAAACGCTTTAAGTGAGCAAGCAAAAAATCGGTAGGTCCTCCATATATTGTATGAAAATTCATGATTTTTTGGCAATATGTTTTTTTGGTTAAATAGTTAATTTGATACTAATATCGATCTATTTTTCTTTTTAAATTTTTATGTTATCTTCAAATTTATATTTCATTCAAAAATAAAAACATTAGCGCTTTCTCAAAATCACATAAAATCGTATTATATCGATAGTGACAAAGAATAAAAACTAAACATTAAAATCAAGATTTATCTCGCTGCATTACGCAAATACCCTTCTAGTAATAGTTAACATGTTTGATATATATGAAACAAAAATTATTTACATTAAATTGGTTAATAAAGATAAATATATTTTATTGTAAATAAATTATTTAAAATTTGGAATATATAACTCAATAAGTTGTATATGAACTAATTGTTACGTTTTGCATTTTTTTTAAAACACTAATTGGAATTTTCTCGGTCGACGGGGACCTTAGCGGCTGATCCTTGCCTTAAAGATCGTTAGTAGCATCGAAAACTTTTTATGTTGAATTTTTTGTGTGACAATCATGTGATTTTGTTGTGATAATAATATGATAATGCTTTGATAAATCGAAGACTTGTTATGATGTTATGTTGTTGTGATAATGATTTGATAAAATCAAAAACCAATGATGATCACGTCCATAATCATCAGCTCTGCCTGTTTATTATATGATTTGCAGTTTTCTTTTTTCATTTTACTCCTGCATGTCTTCAATATTCTTGAAAAAAGATAAATATGTATTTAATATTTTACTACTCTTTAATTTTTCTTAAAATATGACTTAAAACAGAATAATTAACTTACAAGTGTTCTTGCATTTGCGTGAATCACAAGTGTTCTTGTTTGAATCCGTCCGAATGAATAAATTTCACTTTTGGTCCCTCATGGTTGTCACCAATCAACAAGTCTTGTCCCTAAACTTCATTTAGTATACCGGCATGGTACCAATAATTATCATTTTATTACGCTTTTGGTCCCTAAGCCTCACAATCATCAGTTGATTTTGTTATCTCTTGAGCATTTTGGTCCTTTTAACCCTCCTTTAATTTTCTATTGAAAACTTAAACAAATCTGTAACTATTATTACATTATATTTTCATTACATATAATATTTACCTCATTTTTCAACACTTTTCTTCTTCGAATCGTTGTTGTTTCAGCCATTGTTTTCTGCAATCGAAGTCACCACCCGTCATTGTTTCCACCTTGTGAACATGATAACTCGCACCAATCTCCTTGGAAAATCATCCTCCGCCTTAGGCCACCATATCATCTTTCTCATCTCCATCACTTACGACCTCTTAATCCTCAACCCATCATCCTCCATTATTTACGATCGAGCAACTCTACAGTTTACAATCTATAAATAAAAAATCAAAACCAAACACTGATTCAATGAAGCTGAAGTCGATGAGTTTTCCTCAATGGGGATCAATATGAGGTAGAGATGGTGTGTGGGTTCCTCATGACTGCTTGATGAAGAAACACTAAGTTAATAGATAGGGTTTAGTCAGAAGGACCGAAAGCGTAATGAAATGACAACAACCAATACCACCAATATCAACTAGTGTTATACCCGTCCATTTGTCGGGTATAAGATCATATGCAACATCACTTTATTATGAATATGTAATCAAAAAATTTATGAATACTAAAAAGATGATCCATATTCAACATTTAAAAAATGAATCACATCTCCAATACCCACCAATTATTAAGATAATCCATGACAGTGGCGAATCCAGAAACTTTTATAGTTGGGGGCACACTTATGGGTGTAGAAAAAAAATTCAAAACCAAATAATTCATCCGGATGAAAACGGTTTGGGGTTTTCCTTTTCGGCTTAAACGGTTCAATTAACCGAATAAAGATAACTTATTCAGGTCGATTTTCAGTTGACTTTTTACTAATTCATCGAGGTGTATATTTTTTATATTTTATATTTTGAATAAAAATATCAGTGTGTGCTGTAAATGGACCAATTAACAATCAGGATATCAAGTAGGGGGCCTTGTCTTGTTCTTGTTGGGGGCTCTTGCCTAGTTCTTGTTGGGCGCACAATAAGAAAATTTTACTAAGCAAATCTTTTTATAACTTTGATTTTAAATTGGTGAGTTTGTTGGGGGCCTAGGACCCCTACCACCATGCACTAGATCCAGCCCTGATCCATGATACGACAACTCAAAAGCAACATCATTTCCAGCATCTAAGGTCCTCATTACTGGTGAAGAAAAAAAAATCAAGAGACCTCGTCACAACAATTCAAATAAAAATTAAAAAAACCAACTGACCTCATGACAATAATTCAAATAAAAACTACATCACTTGTAATCCAATAATTTTTATGGGTTAAACTAATAACATTAGACATGTAGATACAAAAAGCGGAAAGTAGACAAGCTACCTTCTTGAAAAATTATCTGATCCTAACTCACCTGGAATCCACGTTACATCATGTTCCCATTTCAAGATATTTGCATCCACAATCTTGATCGGGAGGTTCTTAAATGAGTCCTACAAACATCTATCAATATATACATTATAATAATCAAAATTACAAAGCATATCGATGAAGCAATCCTGTGAAGCACAATGATTAGCTTACACAAGTAGAAAATATGAATGACGAAAGAAGAAAGATTAGAATCTTAATTCAACACATTCACAAAATCACAAGAAAAAACACACCAATATCATGAGTTCTTTTCTCTTTAGATGAACTACTGACGTCCTTCTCTAGCAGATGCAAGCCAAGAACGAACGGAGCTCCTCTCGTTCCCTTCACAATCATATGAAAAGTATACTGAAGAGTTAAATATAGAGAAAGAAACATAAATAGAATATAAGAGGGAACCCTAAACCCTAAACCCTAAATGAAGTACCAAAGAAAATAAAATTGAGTTTCCTTCATCACTCGTCAAGTCTAAAATGTTGGTTGTGCTTAATACCATGCTTAAATTTAACTGCAATTTTCCAGTTCTGTAGCTGGGTCATTATTTGAATGTTTGACATCTGCACAAGGATGCATTAGAAGAGTTGATGCAAAGAAAAAAAAAACCATCTGTAATTTTGAATAGCCTATAAACCCCTAATAATCTTAACTTTACTGTATTATCTTAGAGCAATGATGATTAAGAAAAAAGAAGCATATTACAGACTAAAGGTAAGAAAAGATCTATAACAAAAATAAAGAGATAACTAATAATAATTTGTCAACCTACAATTTGATGTTTTGAAAATACAGTCACATTAGGTGTGGGTACATAGTAAGTTACTGAAGGGCATAGTTTCTGCTCCGATAAATACAAGTAACCATTACTGAAAACATTTATTTGATGAAAGGTCTTTCGATGAATTTATCTATGACCAAAGAGATTGGAGATTGAGCAACAAAATACAGTGGATTCTCAGTGTAGATTCTTTGGAGTCGACAGTTGAGGGGAGTGGCCGAGTTCTTGTAGGGATGAAAAGAGATACAACTGATCATCTGTTGATCCTCTCTCTCAGTGATTTGATGATAATCCCTTTTTCCTTTCGATGTATTTCTGTATCTGTAATTTCAGTTCCAACGATCATACACTGAGCTTGTTCAGTGATCGCTGAAGAACTTGTTTTGAAATTCATTCAGAGACAACGATACTTCAAGAAAACAACACTCACACCAAAGATCCTTCAGCAAACG